ATCCCTAAATGCTGACAAAAGTTATCTGGCTCATGCCAGACTGTTTAATCCTTATTGTAGCCATCAAGTATCGCCCACATCTGCTACCTGCAACACTGAGTACTTGCCCTGGTCCCAGGGGGCGTTGCTTGGTATCACTTGTTGTCAGCCACAAAGCCAATGGATTCTGTGTTAATGCAGCAGGTGGGCCATTACTCAACCCTCCTCACCCCAAGAGTGCCACACCGAAACCCAATTTCCTTCTAAAGTGGTCCCACTTGGAGAAGGTAATGACTAGAGTGCTTACAGTGCCCAGAGCCAGCTGCACATTTTCTGGAGATGCATTGTTGGTGAGAGCCACCTGACTGCCCATTGAGCACAGCTTTTACCAGCAAAGCCCCACTTGGATAAGAGGAAAGAGATCTATGTCAAAGAGACATAAAATCAATGCAGCAAAACTTCTCATTTTCAAAAAAAAAAAGATACTATTCCTGCACGACTTTGATAAAATAGATGTAAGCTTCCAAAAAAAAAAAAAAGAAAAAAGAAAAAAAAAAAAAGAGATGTAAGCTTCCAAAAAACAGATGCACACTTCATGGTGTAAAAGCCCCTTGTGGTGGGACTTTGAAATATTCCAACTGCACAGGACTGTGGGAGAGTGGCACTGAGGGGCAAGGTCATTGGCCATGGTGGGATGGGTTGGGGTTGGACTTGGTGATCTGAGAGGGCTTTTCCAAGCATTTCTATCAAAAGAAGTGTTGGGTTACTTTACAGGTGGAAAACATTGGAGATGACATTGGAAAAGGCTGTAAGTTTAAAACCAGGAACTGAACCAAGATCTCTGGAGCTCTAAGCTGTCACATAAGCTCAAGCCCACCCTTTCTTCAGAGAGTGCATAACAAGGCAGAGTCATCCCCTCCTCATTACTTCTGATGTTTTTATGGGAATATATTGCATTAAATTAAATGTGTTTGCAAAACAAGTATTTCTGCAGAAGTGCACATTTATTCATTCGCAGGACTGTGACCATTTCTCTGCTTAGTAAATAAAATTAGTTTTGATTCTTTTTAAATTAGAAGACAAATCAATCATTACTCTAATGGAAAGGCTCTTTCAATCTCATGAGTAAATGCTGCACACATTTACAAAATGTATTCTTCGCTTCTTTATGGTAGATTAATAGAATCCCAGTCCTCGCTCTGAGTCAAGAGAAGAATTAGGAAGAAATTCAGACACCTTTGAGTTTTTCCACATTCTGATGCCATTCTTGCAAGGAGTTAATCTTCAGTGCTTCACCAAAATGTGTTTCCTTTGAAACCAGCGACAAGAGGATCACTGGCTCCATGAGCAGAGATCATGCTTCCCAGCATCGTTAATGACTTTCTGCTCATTGCTTGTGGTCAGAACATCAAATGGGTCACTGAAGACTCCCAGGAGATTAGCAAGGTCCAGCCCTTCATCGTGCCCTGCAGATCTGCCATCACACTGAAATCAAGGCTGATTTGCTTCACTTTGGCTCAGCCCTGAAGTGACTGAGCTCCGGGTCAGCCTGGATGTGCTGATGTACCCAGAAAAGATGTGAGCAATTTTGGAGTTTGTTTCGCTCAGTGTACAAATCATTTATTTTGTCCAGAGTGGCTCTATACCTATGAGGACAGTCTCTTTAGCATAACCCTAAAGAACACTGTAGATTATATATATTCAGTGCACCGTGACTCCATGCAATACATACTGAACTGACTTGGAATCAGAGAAAAGAACAGGGAAATTCTGCTGGGTACACCAAGTGCTTATATTTTGCACTAAAACTCTTCCTCTGTGGTAAAAGATGATGCTTTTGTTAGCACTATATTAATGTTTATGAAGCATCTTGGCATGAAACGCTGTTGACTTTTCTTTCCAGCATGTTATAAAATCATCATGGAAAGAAAAACAGAGCATCCCTAATGCACCAGATTATTGTTACAGTTCTATCACCTGATACTGCACCGTATTAATGTGATGGAGCAATAAAACTCTACATCTTCATTTATCACACCTCTTTAGCTCTCTCCCGTGATCAGAGAGGTTTGAAATGAATATTAGCTTTTCCCTAAGGGGTGAGTAAGAAGCTACCCAGAAATCTTTGATATTTCTACGCTGCCAATTTTTGCTCAAGTGTTGGTCTTGTGAATATTCTTCAGTTCTTCCCTGCTCTTACCTAATCTGCCGAGGACTTTTACATTTTCTTTGGTTTTCAAGTTTGTTCTATCATCCACTTGTTGTTATAATGCTTAATCTCTAGGTGTGTGATTCATTCCAGTAATATGTTTTTATTTTTAAAGTAGCACTCTCATAAACCCTTGGTTTGAAAGATGTTTAAAAGAGGCATCCAATCCTCAGAGGAAATGCATTTGAGAGCCATGTCACAGAATCACAGAATCAGTGAATCAGAGGTGTTGGAAGGGACCTCTGGGATCACTGAGTCGAAACCCCTGAAGTAGGTGCTCCAGAGCAGGTTGCACAGGAATGCATCCAGGAGGGTTTTGAGTATCTCCAGTGAAGGAAATTCCCTCTCCCCTCTGGGTGGTTTGTTTCAGGGCTCTGCCACTCTCACAATTTTTCCTCATGTTCGTGTGGCACTTGCTCCAGTTTGTGCCCAGTGCCCCTTGTCTTGTCACTGGGTGACACCAAACAGAGCGTGGCCCCATCCTCCGGACCCTCACCATTTAGATACTTATAAGCATTGATGAGATCCCTACTCAGCCTAACCCAGATGCACAGCCCAGGGCTCTCAGCCTTTCCCATCAGGACGTGCCCCAGGCTCCCACCATCTCTGCAGCCCTCCTTGTGACTCCCTCCAGCAATTCCCTGTCTGCCTGGGGCTGGGGAGCCCAGCACTGGATGCAGCACCCCAGGTCACACAGAAGGGAGGAGCACCTCCCCCCACCTGCTGGCCTCACTATGCAATGCCCCCCAGCGTCCCATTGGCCTTCTTGGCCACCAGGACACACTGCTGGCTCATGGCCAGATGTTGATCAACTGTTGATAGACTGAAGCTTGCAATGGACGAAGGATGGCATGGATGTACCGTGCAAACGGCACTTCTACCGAGCAAGATACTGATGTTGTGCATGTGAGGCACCCTCCCTCTGTGAGAGCATCAATTATTACCGCTGCTTGCAAACTGATCTGTGAACTAAAATGGGTTTTCTAATTCTGTCACTGGAGAAGAACTTCTGGCTAATCAACTGGAGGCAGATGGAGTTGGCAAAGATGACATGAAGGCCTGCACTAATTACTCCATGTGTCTCAAGAACTGATAAGAGAGTTGATTTATACCTTGAACAGCCTGATAATTCCAGAAATAATAGATTTTGCTTGACTTAATTAATCAGTGTATGCCTGGTTGTGCTGTAATTTTGAATTAAAGTTTCTGGTATAGTGCAGGTGCACGGAAGGTGGTCTATTGCAAGAAGCCCAAATGCCCCTGTGCTGAGGCACAGCAGGCTCTGCATTTACCCCACAGCTGTCTCTCGTGGCATCCAGTAAATTCTTGTGCTTGGGAAATGCAAGTATGACTGAGAATGACAGCACGAAGAAGGAAAATGCTGCATATGCAGCCAACAGCACTAGGTAGGAGTGAGAATCTAGGAATCAGTGAATCCTATGAGTGTGTGCCTGGTGTGCTCAGTCCTTGCCCCAAATTCTGCAGTAAGCTCAACACTGGGGTTCTCCATCTCTCCATTCACACCCATCCTTCACTGTATTGCAGCCCTGAGGGGATCCGTGTCAGTTTCATGTTCTGTTAGGAGTTTTTATGAATAACCTGCCTTATTTGTTCACTGTCAGGCTGATATTTACTGCTGGTGCTGGGGCCCAGCCGTGTCCCCTAGAGATGCTAAAGGCCACCAAAGGTTGGAAGGAATAGCTGAGATGCTCTCTCCTTTTGTCTCACTGCCCTGCATTCTATTACACACAAATAAATTTCCTTGCAGGACTGTTTGACCTGCGTGGGTGACAGCAGTGGCAGAAAGCAATTTCTGAAGAGATTAAATACCTTTTGCCTACATTAAAACAAACCTGTGATTTGTTTTTGTCCTTTCACGGTAGAAGATCCCTCACTTAACAGTGGGTCAGCTGTGAGGCAGGAGTCAGATCTGCATCCTGCTCCTTGTTCCTCATCCTGCTGTATGGCCTCACATCAGTCACTTGGTCTCTGTTTATCAGTTGAGCTCTCAAGCACCATAAGACACAGCGACTTTGGTGTGTCTGAGCAGGACAGAGGTTCCCATATTGATCCCCTCCAAATGAACTCTATCGCATCCACGATGAGGTAAGCCTCAGCTGTATCTTTTTGTTTGCATTGCCAGAAAATGCTTGAAGAAGCTATGCAACAGAAAGTCAAAAAGGGGTTGAACTTGTTTTAATTTCTGAAAATACAGCTTAAATTCACATCCATACTTACATTCAGAACCAATAAATATACACAACAGTTTGCCAGCACTTCACGATCATTTTGACTTACATAATAATTAAGTGGTTACATTACATTTTATATGCAGTCTGGTTTAGAATGTGAAAGTATTATGAACATGTTGAATCCTTTCAACGTTTTTCTCCTACTTTTTTTTTTCCTTATTATTCTTTACTACTATTTGAAAGACTCCCAAATACTTTGAGGCTCATATGGATTAATAACAGTAAAACAATGCAAGTGGAATACACAGCACTCTAAAATGATGGATTTTACATAATTTCAAGATCAGTGCTGTGACCTTTTTTGTGTGGAACTTCCCTTGACAAATAGTGTATTTTCTTTTAAGACATCCCCTTGAAGGCTTTCAAAGGTATTTTCACAGGAATTATTGGAGCTGTTTTCTGTTTTGAGCTGACCCCAGCCATGAGCTCAGCTTAACAATGTAGTTAGAACAGGTTCAGTGTTGTTTTGGATTACTGAAGTAGGACAAAGCTGGCAGTGGCTACCAGTAGATCGGTTCTCTAGAGTACAGGAAGCAGTAACATACATCTGACTGCCTTAGTTAAAACACCACAAGAACTTCACACAGCTCAGTATAACCCAGAGCACTTTTAGCTGTGAAATGGAAGGGAGCGAAAAGAAAATTCTGTACATTAATTGGAGCTGGTGGGCCTCCAGATTTTAGTTGTGATTTGATCCTTCCCTTAAGTCTCAAGTTCTCCAGGTCTACAAGTTCTTGGCAGTCCCAGACCATGCCCTCACACCTTGCTAGTCTGCATGTGTCCATTGAATTCAATATTCCTCTGGGTTAACATTGATTCCTGCAAGCGACTGCTGTTCTCTTGCCTATGTTCAATGGGATCTCCATCCTCTACGCCATTGCCCTTCCGGAGGCAAAGGACTTTCTGAAAACTCTGCTTGAAGTTGTCAGAAAGAAATCCATAAAGAATAGGGTTGGCACAGCTGTTCGCATAGGACAGGACCACCACGAAGAAATACACCCCCACCAGCACAGGGTCTTCTGGCAGTATAAATATCAAATTGACAATGTTCATCATGTAAAATGGGAGCCAGCAGAACACAAAGACAACCACAATGATCACCACCATCCTGGTCACTTTCCTCTCTGATCTCCTGCGCCTTGTAGACCCAACACGAATCCCTGAAGACTTGACTTTAATCACAATCAACAAGTAGCACAGACAGATCACCAACAAAGGACCGAAGAACCCAAGGACCGACGTGTAAATGATGAACGCTGCAGACCAGATGTTGACAGGCTCTGGCCAGTTCATGTTGCAGGTGTGAAAGTCTTCCTGCACATCTGAAAAGATGAAGACTGGAAGCACCACCAGGAATGAGAACGTCCAGACAGTCATACTGATGAGTTTGGCCACCCTGGGACGTCTCCACTTAGTTGATTTAATGGGATGAACTACTGCCAAGTAGCGGTCCATGCTCATCACAGTCAAACAGAAAATACTTGTGAATTGGTTAATACCATCTACGGTCATAACCAGCCTGCACAGAAAGGAGCCAAAAGGCCAGTAGGAGATGGCATTCTGGGTGGCCAGGAAGGGCAGGCCCAGCATGAAGAGTACATCAGCAACAGCCAAATTCAAGATGTAAATGTTGGTGACAGTTTTCATCTTGGCATAACGCAAAACCACGTAAATGACCAATGTGTTGCCACTGAGTCCAACTGCACATACGAGGATGTAAAAGATGGGAATCAGGACTTTGTGGATGTATTTGAATGGGAGCTGCTCTGAGAGCGTCCCATTCTCTGTTGTATTTGTCAGCAGCGAGGAGTTCAAATCACTGGAACCTGAGTCCATGTTAAATGCATTGGAAAAGTATAAAGGATCCATAACTCTTATTCCCCAGTTTTTCTTTTCAGGCTAAGAGAGATTAAACTTCATGGGCATCTCGTTCCTAAAAAGAGGGAAGAAAAAAAAAAAAAAAAAGGAGGGGAAAGAAAGAGAAAGAAAAAGTGAATTCAAAGATTTACACATCATTTAGTTTCCTAGCTGTAGTCAGAATTCTGTTTGAATTAGACATTCAGCACGTGTGATAATAGCAAGGCCAGGACAAAGGAATCTCATAATGAGAGCCCAAGCGATCATACACAGTTGATGGTTTCTGTTTAATTTTAAGGAGCTGCATGCAGTAACACAGAAAGCATCCCACTGGGAAATGCAAGGGAGATGAGAGAGCGTGATGGCCATCACAATTTACAATCAGAGATAGCAGCTTTCCTGCAGTGAACTGGTTTCAAAAACACGCTAACCCAAAGCCTCCCTCCCTTCTTAGTTTTCTGTCTACAATCTGATATAGAAAACAACTTAGAAAGTAATTTTAGATGACACAGTGAGTACGCATAAGACTATCTGAAAGTACCACCCCAGCTCTAGCATCAAAAGCTTTAAAGTCCAGCGTGGTGCTCTCTTGCTGTTGCTTTGGCAGAGGTGCCTGGAGAGGTTGAGGAGCCAACAGCCCCATCTCACACCTACACAGCTTGGGGGGCTTTCACAACCCAGGGTCAAAGATAGCTCCTGGCTTTTTGCATCTGAAGCACCGCTGCAATGTTTCACAGGTCTCCCTGTTTACATAGAAACAGTCTCAGTTGATACATTGAAATGCCACTTGCTGCCTGGCAGAGCCAATTGAAAGCCTCCAGAGCACAGGGCAGCTGTGTAGGTGGGGAGACAAAACCCTCCATAACAACTGACAAAACCCTATAAAAAAAAGAATCAGTGAATGCCCAAATGGAAGGCACCACTTCTGGGACCTCTTTTCCACCAGGTCAGGCCATCCACACACAGATAAGAATATTCTCCAAAGAAAAGGAACAAACTGTTTCCTTTCTCTCTCTCAAGATTTTGCTCCCATTAATGTTTCTGAATCCCTCTCCTCTCACCCAGAAATGTGCTTTTTAATCTCAGAAGCTCATTTCTTCTACATGAGATTCAAAATGTTGTGGGCAGCCTCTGAAAGCATGGAGCTGATTTGATGAAGGCATATGCTCTTTGTCAGACAGTCTGAAAAGGCTTGAAATTTTCTCCAGCTTTGTTTCTGTGGCATGCTTGATTCACAAGGATATTTACTAGTTCTTTGTCTGAGCGTGGTCTAAGTAGATGGTTATAAACCTTCCTGCTGTAAAAGGGTCAAAGCTTCTTGCTATTAAAGAGAAACATAAAAGATACAAGAGTGGGATAAAATGCAGAATGCAGCCCAAGTTCTCTCCCAAGTTTGGGCAGTGCACAGTGGTTAAGGTGCTCAAGGAAGAAGCAACCAGCAACTTCTGCTCCCATTTGCCTGATGGTTGAGTGTCCATAATAATAAAGGGGCCTGAATCTGGCTCCAAGATTAAGCCAGAAACACCCAGCCTACATTGTGTCCATGCTTTCAAGCAAAAGCAATATTCAGCATCATGTAAACTTGCAGAAGTCTGTCTCTAAGAGGAATGCAAACACCTCCATGAACTGCTTACTGTGCTTTCTCTTTGGGTGAGAAAAACTGCAGTGGGTGAGAGGTTCCTCCAGCTACCAGTAGCGATCATAAATATGCTGTTCTGATTTGGAAACGTGCAGATGGGGAGTAGGTGTCTCACATGTAACTCTGTGGCTAGGAGGAGATGTACCAGAGAAATCAGAAATCCAGGGCGGCAGGGACAGTAAAGCTGAGAGCTGCCAAAGTGCAAACAAATGCTGGCTTGGAGATGGAGATGAGAAACGGGGAGGGAATCTACGAGTTCTGAATAAGCTGCCATGGTATCAGGGGTCTCGATGCTGTCTGGGACCTTAAAGACCTTCTAATTCCAAAAGGATCAGGAAGGGAAGGCCAGGAAGTGCAGCAGTGTGCAGCTCCCATCCCAGCACTTGTGAAAATGAGGGTGGATGTGTTTCTTCTAACTTTGCTTCCTCTTTCCCCACACTATGTATCACTGAAATAATTGACTATAGAAATTGCACAGCATCTTCTTCAAGCCTGGTGCACCTTCCACCACATTTAGCGCTCAAGTTTTAAGGGAGGCAGCAATGAAGAGAGGTTTCTTTGTGTGGATGCCCTCAAATTCCTACTCACTCTGGAGACAACCTACTGCACAACATCCCTGCTTGACAAAAGCCTCAGGCTCTTCCAACTGCTGGTAGCCCTGATCACATAAAAGATCTTCTGGAAGGACCTTTGTACATTTTCCATGGAGGGGTCAGCCCTTCCAGCCTCCTTCAGCAGCAGCTGTGATGGTCTCCCCATTTCTTTGGTATCTGGGGGTTCTGCTCTTCATTTATTGTGAACACTAACTAAGCCAGTTATACCATGATGCCACACATCTTAGCCACTGATATCCTGGAATACATTAGAGCACGACAACAACAACACAGGTGAATTTTCCCCTGCCTGATAGCTTTCCCCTCAACAGCACAATTTTGTCTCAACTAATATTGCCACTACAGCACTTAATGACCAGGAACCTCAACACAGGATGACTAAATATAATTAAGAGATGCTGAATGATATCCTGTTTTGGTATTCTTTATTAATGGTTTAATAAAAAACACCTCAAGGGGACATTTTCTCACCCAGATTTTTTTCCCTTTAGTGTTTGATCTCCAAGATGTACTACTGGAAGACTTCACAGAATCACCAAATAGATTCATAAATAGGCTTCATAAATGAAGTGCTTTTTGCTTAAAATATACAAACCAAAGAGGAGAATGGAGCTAAGAACATAGATCCAGAGTAAACACTGCTATAATTCAACTTCTGCTTCTACAGAGCAGCACCCTGAAAATAGCCAGGTGTCTACTTCACCTGAACAAGTCTGACTGCCTGGGTCCACATCCAGGAAGAGTAAGAGAGAAGAAATAGCAGAGATGCTATGGTACAGACCATGCTATCTGGAATAAAAAGTATTTGCCTCTGTGAAAACCTCTCTGTTCTAAACAAATATGCTTTTGCCAGGCACAGGGACTCTCCATCTAATAGCATGCAGAAGCCTATTAGTGACTGAAGTATCATCGTAACATGAGGAAGAACAAACCTGAATGTCCAAGCGGATCAAGGTTGAAATTCCTCCTGGCTGTGGTTTCAATAGCAAAGCAAAATAATGCTATGAGGTGCGTTGCATCTAAGACAGAACTGGGTACAGCCAGGATCGAGAAGGAATTACGCTAAGAAATCTAATTTGGTGAGCCAAGATTTGATCTTGCTGCCTATTTACCACTGGAATCATAACTCTCTCTTATTCAGCATCAAACATAATTGCTGTGAAGATAATTACAACAACAGAAAAGCAGGCGACTGCTTTCAGATTCAGAATAACAGCAATAGACGAAATGGTAACTTAGATCTGCTTTTAAAGCAGATGTTCTTGGTAGTAATTAGAAGAAACACAGCTGGGTAAGTATCTAAGAAGTATCTATCCAAGAAGTATCTGACAGTCATGTCTTCCCCCATCCCATAGACTTGGCTGCATCATGTTAATAGAGCTACTTGGTGTAACAGAGAGGGAAAAACCTCTACTGCTTCTTAGTTCTCTGCCCTTTGGGGGATGAATGTTCATTATCCGCTTCCTCGAATGCAGCCCATGCAGCCCCACGCTCCACACTTGCAGGGGTGGAGCAGGCAGAGGCCAGGCAGTGAGCTGTAGGTGCACAGACGGGGGGAGGCAGCGGTGGAGGCAGCTCTGAAATCGCCCTGATACCCAGGGAGAGGGTTGGGAAGGGATACAGCTCTGTGCCAAGACCTGCTTCAACTTCTTGCAGCTATGATAACTGTAGCTTACCTGCACAAAGCCAGCATCTCTGAAACAGCTTATCAATCTCATCATTTCATACGCAATACTATTGGGTTTCCCTGTCTCCCCCCACTGGATTCCACCGTGTTCAGTTCAGACAGGAACATCTTCCTTGTTAGCTCTACTGTTTGGTATTTCTCAGGTGTCTATTTCAATCCAAAAAAAAAAAAAAAAAAAAAAATCCACAAAAAAACCCAAAAACAAAAAAACACAAAATCCAACCCTGGAATGATTGATTTTTCTCTATAGAAGATACATCAAAACAACTTTCTTGCGCTAAATTGGTTTTCTGTTTTGACTAGCTGTATAGGTATTAAGCAGAGATAAACTGAAGTCAAAATTGAATAATGTCTTGCCACTTCTAGCACTATCAGTTTCTCTAGGAACTATATTTTCAAGTCAGCACCACTTTACTGCTCTCCTCAGCCCAGCCCAGCATTTCCTACAGCACTCTGTGGTTAGTCTACCTGATAACTTGATCTTACTTTCAGTTTGCAGATGGCCCATAAAGCAATTTTTCTTTTGCCATATACTTTTTCTCCCCCGAAAAACAAATTTCAGGCTCTGTTATACTCAGAGATTACTCACTTTTGGCTGAGGGGGTCCTGTCACAGAACAGCTGTGAAGTCACATGCTGCTGATGTGACTTCTGGATCAGTTATTTAAGCAGCTGGAGCCAGAGGAAGGTGAACAGGCTGACACATCCGTGTTCACACTTGGGCAGGTGTGTTTGGGGCTGAACTCCCACTGCTGCTCAACTCCCTCTCAACAGGGATTTTCACCAAAATATTTTTCTTCCTTGCAATCTATTGAAACTGAGCTGATATCAGAATCAAAGACAGTTCAACTAAGGAGCAATTAACCGCAGCCTTTACCTACTCCCAGGCTGAGAGAGAGTTGGAAAGAGCAGAGATGCCCCAGCACAGGGACTGCCTCTGGGAGGAGAGCCCTGGGAGCACCTGTCCCTCCAGCAGTGCTGTGCCCTCTCCTGAGTTTGACATCTCTGCTTCTATGCTCCCCATGCCAGCAGTGCAGTTCTGCTCCAGCCACCAAGCCCCGGCCACAGAGTCC